TAGTAATAGTAGTAATAGTAGTGATAGTAGTAATAGTAGTAATAGTAGTAATAGTAGTAATCGTAATAGTAATAATAATCGTAAAAAAAAAAAAGGAATTAGTAATAGTAATAGCAATAGCATAAGTATAGCCGTCTTCGTCATAGCGTTAGTAGCCGTATGAGTTATGAACAATGGCTGTCGTAATACTACCAGCAGAGGCAAAGGCAATGAAGCGCAGTTTTCCTTGCAAGATTGACAGTAAGCAGCTTTCGCGCTCCAACCGCCGCATCGCAAGTACTAGGACTACCTCCAGATGTCGTGCAACACACCACAAGCTTTGCAAGGCAACTACCGACAATCTGCAAGCGACGACGAACCCAACAGTCGCAAAACTCGTACTAAGAACCCGGACCCTCAGCCCTTCCTCAAAACAAACCAAACCCCGAAACCCAAAACCACAGAACTCCAAAACCTAAGCAGCCCTCCATATATCTTAGCATGCCAGAATCAGAAGAACACAAAGCCAACAGCGAAGGTCCGGGGTCTCTGACGATCTTCCACCTCCTGCAGCCTGCACCAACCTCCTATGTAGCCCAAACTAACCCCCAATCCAGACATCCTACAATGAACCCCGAACCGAAAACCCTAAACTCTAACCTCGAAAAGCTCTAAACCCCAAGCAAAGGGATGAAGCCTTTGCCCGAGACACCGATCCTTATTCAGACCAGACCTAGAAGGGGCCGAACCTGAAACCCACAAGCCTTTAAGGTTGAGGGTTTTGGGATTCGGTGCAAGGTCTCCTCAGGCTTTGTGCTGCGGGTTCAGAGTTTAGGGTCAAATCCCGGAAAGCTGGGGAAAATTTCGAAATGTTCGGCAGGAGCTGATCAAAGGTCGGCACTGCACGCATGTGTTTGGAAAAGTCTCTGCCGCACCAAGAGAGAGCATCCGCAAGAAAAAGAAAATCAGCACGACCTGTCCAGGTCTTCTGGGCACCTCATTTCGTGCACATCAGCACAGCTCGCACCTCGGAATACAGCATAAGCCTGCACCAGTTGTCACTGCAGAGGTCGCGGCAACAGTGAGAAACTTGATTGTAGCTTGTGCCTTGATGGTGGGGATGTCCAAGTTGCGAAAGCAAAGAGAGCACCACAAAGTGTCACCTGTGACGGATTTGGTTCGTTGGATTGTGCGCCGATAGGCCGTCCGGCCTGCATCATGGGGATGCACACTCGCGCGCCGAGTCGGTCAACAGCATGCCCCAACCTTTGTCGAACTTTCTCGTGCACGGTGGGATGCTCCCATGCTCGAGAGGAAGCTGCTCCGCAGAACAGGGCTTGCGGCAAAGGTTGAACCAGGCCCGCCAAGATGGTAGCGACTGAGAAAAATCCACCCAGCTCGGCGTGGGAGAGGCCGAAATCCTAGCACTGGGCCAGCTACGACCCTTTCAAAGGAATCGAACATGCCGCGAGCCTGAAGCAAGTGCGGGACCTGCCGATGGCAACAACAAACATCAAATTCATGGTCATGGCCATGAAACTCGGTTAGCGAACGCCCCCGCCGTGTACGACATCACATTGTTTTGGCCCTGCATGAGATGCATCTTTGAGTAAGCTTGAACCCACAGAATCAAAGATCGCGACAGATTCACAAGCCTGCACTTTGAAGATCTTGCATAAGATGCACACGGCCACGATGACCCATCCGTAGAAAATGCAATTGAAGCGGCCGCTGGATCCGTGTTGTGCGAGGCCTTTCCCGGTTGCTTCTGCAACCAACGCGTGCAGCTGGTGGCCAGCCACTCCCATCTGTCATTCAGCCACGGGGCTGCTGTGAGCGATGCAAACAGAGCAAAACAATTACGCAAGCCATGTACGCCGTATTGCCGTTACTACTTACAATACCTACAACTGTAGTCAAATGCTATGCCCGTGCTAGGTCTGCAATGCGCCACTGACAAGCTGGAATGCTAAATTATTTGAGCCGGTTATGCTGCCGCACACACACACACATGCCACCCAGGCTGCGGCGCCAGCTAGAATGACAGGGTACTGTAACAACGATCGTGGCATCCCCTGTGCGAGAGGGGATGTGGTTCCACTTCTGATTGTGTCTCATGCCCGCGGTGTTTTTTGAGCCCCACGATGTTCCTAGGGCCCTCCTGGATCCACAAGCTCAGCCACCCGATCGAGCATG